TTTAGAACACTGTGTATTCTGTAACTCTGCAAGTAGCATATACTCTGAAACCACACCTGATGTGTAAGTTGAAAAACTAAAGGTTATTAGGAGAGAATGTATTTCTTTCATTGAACAGCAATTACACTTTAGGAGAATCATCATTACAAAGAATTACAGAAGTGCAAGAACTCGCTGCGTGCTCACTGTAAACCTCAAGTGCACACACCAGTCTTTGGTGAGCCACAGCAAATAGGTTCAAGGGCTCACTTTTAAGTTACTAATGCCAACTATAACTGTGAACAGACCATCCCTGAAGTCTTCAAGGCAGTTGCATCCCCCCATATCTTTCTAAGAAACTTAAATCACTTACTGGTAAAAGTCCATCTGGGGGAAAATCCATGTCAACATAACACTGCCTCATTGACAACAACCACTTTCAAAGCACAAATGGCCCCCACGTGCCACCAAAGAAGAGGGTGGCAGTTTACCACCCGAATCTCTCAAGTGACTGGGTTGAAATGTGAGGGCTCCCCAGCAGGAGAACTGGAAGAGGAGCTGAGCACACCCCCAGACACGGCCGAGGCACCAGCTCAGCCAGAAGCAGGAGCATGCAAAAAAGCTTTAATTACAACTACATTTCTGGTGCCACTCAACAATAACACATACCCCTCCCTAGAGTACAAGGAACTGGACTCTTTTGAAGAAATTGGACTCTTTTGAAGAAACCACCAGCAAAGCAACCCAAGTATTTAACATTTCATGGGAAATTAATGAGGTTAAATATGCTGGGGACAAAGAATATAGTATTTAAGTCTGCATGCTGGCTGCCAGAGGAGATGAATGGTGATAGATCAGAAACTGAGACCTGTTTCTCCCTGTTTTCTTCTCCTAGCCCACTCCCTCAGAAGGAAGAAAAAATATCTTTGCTCTACTCAATTTGAACTAAAGTAAATTCCATATCACATGCACTGCAGCAAATATTTTTAATGCTGGCATTTTTGAGATGCGACATCATTATAAAGGTGGATTACAGATGTCCAAAGGAATCAGATTTCTCCAGCTTCCAAACACAGAGTTTAAAAGGTTTTTGTATGCCCTATCCTCACCTCTCTTCCTGAAAACAAAAAAAAAGCAAAAAAAACCAAAAACCCTTTCTACATGTTCTGCAGCTTCTAGCCAAATTCCTTATCTAGAACTCAGGAAATGCTGATTGTATCAAGTCACTAGGGAAAGGAAATATGAATACAGTTCATGCCACCCTAACCATTACTGCTGTCAAACAAGAACAAAGCTTTCCACCTGATTATTTTCATATAACTCATACTGAGGAATCCTTCACCTGCATACACCTCTGACCAGATACAGAGTTTCACCCTATACCCAGAACTTCCCTTTATCTTCAGTGCACCTTGCCAAAAATTCTACTTCACCTTACCTCCAAGACATAGCAAAAAATGCCATCAAACTGTCTAAGTCCTAATTTTTCAGTTTTAAATACAAGCTACAGCAATCTGATAAGTGAATTATATCACAGATGCAATTGCAAGAACTAATAAAGTAATGGTGGATTTTGTAACGCGTTAGATCACATAAATCTCAGACTGTTTTATGAAGAGATAAAAGAGGAAAATGCATTGGAAATCATGGCAGACAAAGGCACACTGATTTCTGAGGCATCATATAATGAAGAAACATGACTAGAAAATGGCTAATTCAAGCTGGGGTGAAGAAATAGACCACTTCAGTATTGTACAGTCCAAGGTGAAGAGACCCTTCACCTGAAGGCACAAACCACACTGGAAACACCACACTTCATCTCTAACCTGAGTGCTTCAGAAGTAAAAACCTACTCCTTGTTCCCTTCTCTGACTTCTGGTAGAAAAATACGTGCACGCAACACCAGTTATAGCTTAGCAAGTCCTGAACATTAAGCTCTTCTAAAAACATGGAAATGAATCTACCTAAAAAAAATGCAAAAAAGCAACGATCTGTTTATTAAAACCAAGAAACAACAGATAAAAACCAATTAAAATAATAACAATATTAAAACAATAATAATGGATTAATACAAACCCTCTTCGGAATGCTAAGAGGGAAGTGTAGTTTTAAAATGCCCATTAGCAAAGAGGCATTTTCATTTCTTCACTAACTGACCTTAAGCACAGAGGTCTGCAATATTCAGTAGATCTGCACAAACATCATTTATAAGATTCCTATTCAAACAAGAGTTTTATGCACTGTCTGTATGATCAGGGTTTAAAACCAAAACAAAACCGCAATTGCATGCTGACTGGAGAGCTATTTCAGGAAGAAAAGCAAGCCATGAATACTGGTGGAGGAATATTTCTCTATGACTATTTAAAAATAGTTTCACAGTTTCACAGTTACTTGTAGCACCCTGACAGATGCGATGCCTCTGCTTTTGCCTCATTGCAGCTGTCAATTATCTAACAATTACCGAGCCGATTGGTTTCACAGCTGTCCTGAAGAACACCTCCAAGCTGCCACTAAACAGCTCCTAAACGTACCTCAGGGAGCAGCTTCAAGCACTGTAGATGGTCAGGGAGGTGGAAGCCCAATCCCTCAAATCAAACCAGGGGCCAAGAGAGGGGAACAGAGACCAGTGACCTCTTTCTTCCATCAGCCATAATACTGAAAAAAAAACCAAACCCAACCCCAAACCACAGAACCTCCACAGCAAGCTGTCAGGACATGTCTCTTAGAATCCAAACACTAGCCCTGAAAACATCAGCAGGATCTGGTTTATCACAGTCCTCGGATGATTTGACAGAGAGGTGCCTTGCCCTGTGCATGAGTTTCTAGCCAGTAATGGTCTCATACTTCTTCAAGTCCTTATGTATTTCCAGGGTACCAATTTTACTCCTTACCAGATAGCTAAACAAATCTACCATAGTTCCCTCAGAGTACTGACCACAGTTCAGTTGTGTAAACCTCCATCCATTTGCTTTTTTTACAAGAACAGGGAGGCTAGTTCTGGAAGCAGAGAAGATGCTGTAATCCACAAACACATACTATTACATTTTCTGAGTTTCTGTCTCCAGCGCTGTTGGCTTGGCATCCTCCACAGCACTGAATTCACAAACCAAACAGTGAACTTCTTAACTTCACCTCTACTTTCATGTACAGGCTTATTCATACTCATGCTGGCATTGCCTCTGCCTCATTAAGGAACTGCTGATACCTCGTCTGAACTCAACACATCTGATTTGAACCAATTCTACTTGCATAGATGCTGTTTATTAGGGAGGATGTATGCATTAAAATTTGATTTTTGTTTCTTCACGGTTCAGCTGTTCCTGCTGTTTATCTCTATCTAAAGTAACAATTAGCCAGTAGGAAAATTACTATCGTGTCACAAACAGAAGATTATGACTTCAGGTAGGTGATCAGACAGCAGGGAACTATGAACACAGAAGAAACAAAAATGCTGTTTGGATACAAATGTCCTTGGCAATAGAGATGAGAGACAAGAAGATAAATGACAGTCATATGATTTATAAACTGAATGCTTCTTCAAAGTGTCCTATTAAACATCAAGTATACAAAAATTTGCAAAGGCACACGTCACTGTGTTAAGATTTGAAGAAATTAAAGGAACAATATTATGTGACATCACATACAACAGCTATTTCTGTGCTGTCATTTGAACTAGGTTGAACATTAAAGACAAACACGGTATATTAAGAACAGGCATGATTGTTACTTATTAAACTAATCAGAAACCGTTTCTCCCTATACTCCAGACTCAACTTAACTTTCGAAAATTGGGGTTTAACTGCTACAACAGAGGTACGAAATGTTACACGTACCATTTAAATAAGTGTATTTGTATCACTGCAAACAGAATACAATATGGCAAACAGATGCACAGAGCGGAAAAAAAGGCCATGGAAGAGACGAAAATCTTTGTTTTTCAGAGTACTGAGCAACTGGAGACAGAGCAGTTACTTCAACCTACACCACCTAGCCTGAGTTAGTCTAATCTTAATCGAAACACTCTAGCACGGATGAATTTTCTAAATGAAAGTGTCGTTGATAAACTGTTAGCAATTAACTTCTTCCCCATCTAGTATGAAAAAAATAAACAGCAAAATGATGTATGCAAACACCACAGACCATTTCTTCCCAGAAATACTGAACCCAGAGAAATAGCTACAGTAGTTAGATTTACAGCATTAAAAAAAATATATAATAATCCCATTTTCTTTCAGATTGTGCCCTGCAAGACGAGAAATTTTGTTGGAGCTGGGAAGCGGAATCAAAATTCTCGGCTACTTTAAACGACATCCCCTAGTAAGGCACTCGACTGCTGATTTAAAGCTGTATGAAGATCCGTGGTGCTTCATCCGTGAAACACAAACTTCTCTGAAGTCCCAGCGCAGAGCCAGCCCAGCTGAGAGGAGCATTCATTCCTCCTCTCGCTCACTTCGCTGCGAGGAGAGTGTCGGTGAAGCACCAATTCCCGGGCACTTTCCAGCCTCCCCACGTCGAACAGGCGAGGCTCTGCGCTACTCCCGCACCCGGCAGGATCGATACTCGGGGGGAAAACGAGAGAAGCCTGGTAATGGGAACAGCGGTACCAGCCTGACACAGGCGTGGCCGAGCTATGCCCCAGAGCCGCTGGAGCCCACAGACTGCTGGGGGGTGCGGAGAGATGGGGGACGTGCGCTAGTTTGGGGGGCTCTTTTTAAAAAAAAGAAACAAACAAACAAAAAAAACCAAAACAAACTTGAAAACAACAATAGGGCGGCTCGGGAGGTGCCCGGCGGCCGCTTGTAGGGCGGGCAGCTCCCGGCTCGGCTAGGTATAAGTTGCTCCCGAAGCGGGGAGAAGGTGGAGGCCAGGAGGGAGGGAGCGAGCGCTATCCCCGCGCCGGGCCCCGCGCCCCGCCAGCAGCCAGGCCTCGCCGCTCCCCTCCCGCACGCCCAAACATGGCCCCTCGCCACCAACCCGGCAACTTTCCCCCTGCCCCTCCCGCCGCCGCCTGCCCCGCTCACCTCTCATCAAGGAACAAAAACTGCAGGCGAGTAGGCTGCGCAGGACGGGCCCCATCTTCCCTCCCTCCTCGCTCTCACCGGCGGGGAGGCGGCGGCGAGGAGCAGCACCTCCGCTGCCAATTCATGCTTCCAGGCGGGCGGGGGAGGCGGCGGGAAAAGGGGGGGGAGGCGGGGAAGGGCGGCCGCGGAGATTCCCCCTCGCCCGTCCCTAGCAGGCCCCTCGCCCCGGCGCGCCGCCACGGGAGCGAGCGCTGCCCTCCATGCCGGCCACGGCCGCGTCTCAGCGCTAGCTCCGCACTCCTTCCCCCATTCACCCTCCGCCAGGCGCGCACAGGCGCAGGGATACAGTCCTCCTCCTTCTCCTCCTCCTCCCGCGCCGTGCCCGGCCGGCGCCCGGCGCAGCGCCCGCCCCCTAGCACCGCTCCCGTCGGCCAGGGACGGCGCAGAGAGGCGAGGGCGCGGAGCCTCTCTCACACGGTCGGGATCACGCACATGTCCGGAAGCTCCGCAGCCGAGAAAAGCCCGGCGGGGACCGCAGCCCGACGGGGCTCCGCCCGGGAGGGAGGGTGATTGGGGCTGCGGCACCCCTGAGCACAGGGACACGGACAGGAACGGGGCGAGGCGAAGGTCGCCGTTGCATTCCAGTGGGACTACTTTGCTTCCCCTCGCTCCCTCCGCCGTCTGCGAGGCGGAGAAACACTGGCGCGTGAGGCCGAGAAACACTGGCCGTGAGGCCGGGACTACTTTGTGTCCCAGAGCTGCGGCGGCGCTGGAGCTACGGCACAAAGAGTGCTGGGCCGGGAAGGGGCCGGAGCGGCCGGGAGAGGGAAGGAAGCAGTGTGGAAAAATGAAGTTATGGCTAGTACCCCCTGCGTGTAGACCGAAGAGCAGTGATCTTGGCCTTTCCCGAAGCAGAGGCAGCAGGCGTCCCTTATCAGCAGGAATTGGCTGCTTGGCTGATGTAATGGTGCGTGATTTATTTCCCAGCACTTTTGTGGATGCTTTGGGTTATCGCCTCCGTGTTAAACTAAATGTCGTAAGATGGGTCTGTGCTGCTTAGAGCAGTAGTTACAAAGAATATGAGTAGTTAATGTTTATGCTGTGTTTAAACATAACTTAGTCTTTTTCCCTCTTGCATTCAAGTAAACATACCCTTCTCTTTCTGAAGAAGCTAAAAAGTTCAGATTTGGTAATACACTCTCAATTTCAAAAAAACTTCCCTCCTTATCTTCTTTGTTTGTTCCTAATAGATAATACAAAACGCAGCTTGCTTTCCTCTAGATTAGAAAATCTATTTCATTATTTCAACAAGGAACGTTAAGTCTAAATATCTACGTCACGGTCTCCCTCCGTCACAGAGTGTGACAGCTGGTGAGTAGAATAATGATATGAAGCAGAAGAACTTACAGCAACATCTGAAATATTTACATTCCAAAGTTGGTATTATTTTCTGGATTATTAGAAATTTATAGAAACATTTAAGTTTTGATTTCATATCTGTTCAACATATATATTCATAGCTTTTCTTGTTATTACAATAGGAGATAACATCTGGGCCAGCTTAAAGGCCTGGGCATTGTAGACTAATTCTAAGAACGGGTTCCTGGTGTCATGTGATATCAGACTCTCAACTTTTACTATGTAAAAACAAAAACAAACAAACAAAACCTCATAATATTTTATAAAAAGAAGTATATTTCAAATGCAACTCAACAGCAAGACCTGCCCAAAGCTAGGTCGACATTACAAAATGTTGTCCTTGACTGCTGGATGAAAGTGCCTCCTCTGTCACTATGCTGTCAGCTGGGAGGATTAGCAAACTCAAGCAAGATTCACATAGATAGGAGAGGGGAAGGGCTTTCCATACAGAAATGTACCCTAGACAGTAGATAACCTGTGTCCAACCCTTGTTGATTTTGCAGGAGTGGGCAAAAGGAGCACACTTTTTAATTTATTTTCACTGTTAACTGGAATCAGAGAAGAAAAGAGGTTTTTGGTGGTTTGGATTTTTTTTTTTTTTATGCTGTTTCCTTGTACTTCTTCCATACTCATGTATGGCCAGTCTTCGCGAGCGAAGATTTGGGAAAGGTCATTAACCCTTCGAGCCTGCGCAGTGGATTTTTTAGGTGAGACACAGCGTGCGCTGAACTGAGCCCACCCTTTAATCCTGAGGTTCATCTGCCGGGGCCGAGCAAGCTTGGACAGTGGCAGTGAGGGCCCCAGGACGTAGGTTTGTTTAGAGTGACCTTCTCTTAGATGGATTGCCTTACAGGGCTGACGAGCTCCATCTGCCCGGGGGGCTGGGAATCGAACCCGGGTCGCAGTGGTGAGAGTGCTGCACCCTAACCACTAGACCACCAGGGGCCCCCTTCCATACTCGTAATGTTGCACAATCTGTCATCAAGCTCTTGAGAAGTATGGCCATACTCATAATGTTGCACAATCTGTCATCAAGCTCTTGAGAAGTATGGCAGACCTGTAATGAATTCTTTGTATCTTAATGGCACAGTGCACAGCTGAGGAAAACCTCAAGCCTGAACTCTGCATCACAAAACACATTTCTCTACATGCCATTCCCTCTCCTATCTTATCTGTTTCTGCTGGAAACACTCTGGTGTCTTGACTGTCTCTTGGGAGCCTGATCCCCTGTCTGGTTGCTCTGACTCTTAGATGTCTTCCCTGCTGTCCAGGCTGACTGGTTTTATTGTTAGCTTTTGAGCACTGTATGCTGTCACCCCTCGCACTGGTGCATTTTGCCATTTTTCAGTAATTTGAACTCTTTCCTGCTTGGATTTCATCTAAGCCAGTTAATGATTATTGGCTTGTCTTAGTTTAGCAAGACGCAAATATCCGTTAAGGAGGGAGGGCCAGAGGGAGGGCCCTCTACGTTATTACAACTTTGAAGTTAAGAGGCTTCAGGCGAAAGGTGTGAAAAAGGAAAATACCAGTTCTTTATTAACAAACCCGAACAAACAACAATGGTGCACCCAAAACTTTCAAAAAAAACAAAGTCGTAATTTCCCAGGTGGGGGAGTCCCCGTGGCAAATCAGGGGGGGCCGAGGGCGGGCTGGCCCCGGTGGCTCAACAACTGCTCACAGCCCCTTGAGCCAACAATGAAAGGGCTTTTTCCCGCCGGTCCCAGGGCTGTGGTGCGGTCCTCGGGTCAGGCAGCCGCTGCGGGAAGATGCTCTGATAATGCAGCCCCACAGCCTGGGGCAGAACACCTCGCTCCAAGACGGTCGAGGGGCTCTCCCAATCATTCTTCCACAACGGTGCCAGGCGGGGAAGAAAAAAAAAAATTCTCCTCAGGGAAAAGTGGGAGGCGGCCAAAACTGAAGGTGGCTGCCACTTTGTCGGTCTGTCGGTGGACACAAGTCCTGCAGACAAAAGGGTGGTGATGGCTGGTTTTAAAAAAAAGCCTCTCCCACTCCGATGCCGCTCTGCTCGCGACCCCACTCCTTCCCCCTTCCCGCCTCCCCCCACCCCAGAAAAAAAAGATGAGGGGGGAAAAGGGGGGGGGGCTTTTAGGTACACACTGTCCAGTAATTGATATTGTGAAAAAATTCCAACATCTGTTTTCAAACCTACAACAGGCTTCATCTCCCTCAGCCTAGCCCCCTTTCCCCACAGCCTGCCTAGACACAATCCTCCTTCCTCTATTCTAGCCCAAATATCATAAAATATCACAGAATGGGTTTGCTTGGAAGGGACCTTAAAGATCATCTTGTTCCAACCACTCTGCCATGGGCAGGCACACCTTTCACTAGATCAGGTTGCTCCAAGCCCCATGACCTGGCCATCCAGGTCACGAATCATCTCATGGATGGGGGTCACAGAGTCCCGGTTGGTGCAGGATTGCTGACGATGCTCTGCTGCGGTAGCGATCGGTACCTGTTGCTCAACGACTCTCAGCAGTCCCACAGCAGAAGGGTCCTCTGAGAGACCAGGCAAGTATTCAGCTGTCCAATTTCCTGTCTCCAAGCAGATATCCCAACAGCCCAACAATGCCCTTTTGGGTCCTTGAAATACCCTCTCCTTAGGTAATCTGTGCCAAGGATGCATGGGGCCTCTGGGCCACTCACAATGGGATATCTTTGCCATTTGTTCCTGGTCAGGCTCACTTCAGCTTCCAGTAGAATCAGCTGTTGGGATCCCCGTTATCCCAGAAAAAGAGGTGGGTTCTGCACCTGCATATCTCGATGGCATAAGGGTACATTGTGCTCTGGTGTCAACTAAAGCCTTATACTTTTGTGGGTCTGATGTGCCATGGGATCCACACAGTCCAATAGATCCAATTGTCCCTTTACCTGGCTGGAGACAGGGCCCCTTTAGTCCTGGTCATAGTACTTGTTGCTCACTTCTTTTAAATATGACCTGGAGGTCCCTTCAAGAGGATCTGAAGTAACGTGAGCTCTCCTATTCTGTCTGAGGACTTGCCCACCGGAAACCAAAGCAGCATTTATCCTTGAAGAATTTCCTGCAGTGGTTGTTCTTCCTCTCAACTGCTGGGGCAGAGGTGGGTTTCCCATCCCACTTCCTCTTGTTCTCTCTGTGTCATGCAGGCAAAGCCACAGGTTATCTTGTGGTGTG